TAGAATTGTATACATTCAATGACAAATGAGGGGCAAAGATAGTTCTTCAGGAATTTAGGGAAGATTCCAGGCCAGGGGTTAGTCAGAGAAAACTCCTTGAATCATGTGGAGAGGCACAAATGCCAAGTAGTTGAGTAGAAACAGAAGTCTCAGTTTAACCAACAACAAATATTTCTAAGAGATAAACACTCCTCAGGCAACCATCTATGAAATGTGAATTCTTCTGAATTGCTAGAATTCTCTTCTGAGCTCCTTCAAGTATCAAGATAATGTAAGAAGATCCCCAAACCATTGCCTCTTAGGGTCTTAAACTATGTATTCTTATAATATAAGCCTAAGATTTGCCTATGTACTGGGTACTGTGTGTCTGATGGAGAGACCGAGGCATACCTTGTGAAGGGGCTCAGCTCTCTTTCCTAATGGAACCAGGAAGAGTGAGAGACATACCTTGTTCACCTCCTCTAGACTGGTGGCCATGAATTTCTGCCAGTGCAGGGTTACGTTCTTTACCTGCTGTGTACGTAGTGATTTCTTATACTGCTTCTAACTCTTCTAACCTCTTTTGGACTCTCAGATTCTTATCTGAATCCCTACATATTCCAGGTCCCAGATGAGGGAAAACATCTCCAACAACAAGTCTTCCATTTACCTATTGGCCAGCACTGTTGGTTCTTATCCAAATACATTTTTAGGCTCAACTGGGATCAAATATTCATTTCCATTTAAGGCAACGGGGAGCCACACATGTGAGAAAACAACATGACAGCCAGCCTGGACCCCAAAATACAAGGCCCCATGTAAGGTAAATCACTTGGTATCCCTTCAAATGGATACATTCTTTGTATACTTGTTTAATCTTTACATGGTAGGAGTGAGGAGGCACTGATTTTTTATTAATAAAACTTGTATATCTCTTTATTAGTGCTCAATTAAGACTCAATGACGTGCAAAGTATGTAAAATTACTTGTTTTTCCTTTTTATTGATTTGTAGTTGTCTTGGAATTTCCTCATTCTGGACTAGTTTCTTGGGAAGCATATTAAATTATCTAAACTTCAGATAAAAAAAAATCACTTATTCTCAGTGAGCGGCACTCTTGTGCAGTGGGACTGGACAGACAGCCCTTCGGGAAGAGTGCTTTTTAGAGTCCACTTGAGGGATGCCTGGATGGCTCAGGCAGTTGAGTGTCCGACTCTTGATTTTGGTTCAGGTCATGATCTCATCGTTCATGAGATCAAGCCCCACATGGAGCTCTGTACTGACAGTGTGGAGCCTGCGTGGGATTCTCTCTTTCCCTCTTTCTCTGCCCCAGTATCTGGCTCATGCTCTCTCTCTCTCTCTCTCTCAAAATAAATAAACATGAAAACAAAATCAAGTTCACTTGAGAAGTTGTCTACTGTGTGGAAAACAAGACCTATTTATATTTTACCAGTGTGATCTGTAAGATGGAGAGCAACCCGGGTTAAGAGGTGCCAGGTTCCTGACTCATTCTGCCCAGTTGGCCTGCCACTGGACCCACTCTGCATGACAGACTGGGCACTGCCTTTGCAGTTCACCTCTACCAGTTACCCTGGGCTCTCCTCTGACCGTCCCTTGAGGGTTCACTATTTGGGGATTGCTCATGAGGGACTGGCTTTGCAGAGGCTTCTTTTTACAGATCTGTAAAAAACTAAAATTGTCTAGACTTCAGCACAAAAACATCCTTAACAAACGATAAACATAACTGCATTAAGACCCTATTACATCCTTCATCGTTTGAAAAGTCCCAGTTAGATCTCTCCAAGTGTACCCTTCCTTTAAAATTGTGTTAATCATCATATTCCTTTTGGGGATGACTCATCCTGCTTGCAATCTGCCTTTACTCTGGTGGTCTACTTTATAATGCATGATAACTCGGGCGCCTGGGTAGATTCGTCGGCTCAGGTCATGATCTCATGGTTCATGGGTTCAAGCCCCACGTTGGGCTCTCTGCTGTCAGCACAGAGCCTGCTTCTGATCCTCTGCCTCCCCTTCCTTCCCCCTCTTGAGTGCTTTGTCTGTTAGAAAATAAGCTCACCCGGGGCAGGATTTCTGTTTTATGCATGACTGTATCCCTAGGCTCTATCTCTAGAGTCCAAAGGAGATGAACTTAAGAATAACATAAGGAATGAAGATAAAGAATACGGCAGGGAGTTACCTAAAGAACTCACAGCCCCACATTGAGGGAAATTAACAGCCACCTGTTAGAGGGGTTAAATGAGGGCGATGGTGGTATTTGAGGACAAGTCTTGGGCTCTTTCTGATTCCTGGCTCCATAGTAGGGGGCGTGACAATATGTATATTTGCATACATGATTAAATGCCTCAAATTAAGAGTTGGGACTATACAATTTCCAGTGTCCTTTCTAGTTCTAAAATTGTATGAGTCCTTAAAATCCTCCAAGTGTCACCAATTTAGTAAAATAGGATGCCTTGGCAATTCCCAGGAGATTCTAAACCAGGGGGAATTCTATCAATATCATATTGACAAGAGGGAATGTTTAGGGAAGTAATGGGCTTGTCTCTTTTTTCTTTTCCACTAGAGAGAATCAGGAAGACACAATAAAGAATCAGAGTGTTTCAACAGTGGAAACTGGGCTAAACGATGGAAGGTGTGCTCTGTATTTTCCAAAGCACCCTTGCTGGCAAACACGGAGAGAAGTTTGAGAGTGAACAGCTGTCACCAGGGCCCCAGGCAACGCTGCAGAGAAGGTCAAGCTTGCATTTTGCATTCCAACCTGCCTCTTTCTTTCTGAGTCCACTTTTCACCCCAGTTATTGGACTCTAGCTATTGAATTTCCTCGTGCTGTCATTTGGCTTCTAAATCTTTCCGCTCCCTGACTGTTCTACTGCTCTGCACAGAGATTTATCTTGTTTCCTTCTCATTCAGCTAGAGTTGCAATCCCCCGGGTTCTCATGGTAGCCCAAGTGAATAAAAAACACTTCTATCAAAGTTTCAATGAGGCCTGAAGAGCTTTTGCAGTTTGAAAAAAATGGTCCAGTGTCTTACCTGGTCTTCTAGGACCTTAAATGCGTGGAATTAAAATTGAGATCTCAGATACGTTCTCTTTGCATGCACACATGCGCAGAGAACACCATTCCACACTCCCTCCCCCCCCCACCCTATTTCCCTGGAAGGTTACTCTGGAAGGTTACCCTGGAAGGTAAGAGGCAGCAAACAAAACCTTACGTTGGTAGAAATCCTAACTGAGCAGCCTCATGCATACCTGATATTCACGGGTTTGCAGGGATAATCTTTGATATTTTTCTAACCAGACCAGACTAGCAAATAAAGGTTTTCAGACAAAGATGTTTTTGAACCAGTGCAGTTTTTATGGTCTTGCAGCACAGAATGCAGAGAAACGTACTCTGACTTCACAAAAACAGTTGAGTAGTAAGAACCCCTTAGAATCGCCTTGACGTGGAGCCAGAGCAGGGACCCTCGTTTTCGCTTTGCCATTAAAGGATTTTACCCTTAATCCTGAATCTCAGGGGGAAGTGTGAACTCCCTTTCTCCTGACAAGCAGTGGTGATGAGTAGGGCTGATTCCTGAGTCCAGGTAACCTCCTTCCCCGGAGGTTCTTGGCGTTACTGAGGGATGGGGACCCTACAAAAAGACTGAGCTGTTAATTTGTCTCGGAGCCCTCATAATTTGCTACATGAATGATCAAAATGACATCATTTTGTCCCTTAAGATGCTGAAGTTTGAGAAAGGCTGTTATTAAAAAGTGAGGCCAGTGTCCAGTAAGGCCAGCCTGGACACAAGGGGGAATCGAGTTTCAACAGAGCCTTGTAGCAGTGACTCAAATCTAGCATCGTTAGGAATGTGAACAACGAACACAGGACAGCACTGTGGCATTAGTCTTGGACTTCAAGTAGAGTTTCCGAGGATAGGGCCCAGGAACATGCATTAACAATTTTTGTTGTTGCTGTTTATTTGTTTTTGAGAGAGAGACAGAGCACGAACAGGGGAGGGGCAGAGAGAGAGGGAGACAGAGAATCCGAAGCAGGATTCAGGCTCTGAGCTGGCAGCACAGAGCCTTACGCAGGGCTGGATCTCATGAACCATGAGATCATGACCTGAGCCAAAATCGGACGCTTAACTGAGCCACCCAGGTGCCACCGGGAACATGTGTTTTTAGTGGGCACGCCAGGTGACTGTGAGGCCCAGCGAGCCAGACCTGAGATCGCTTCCTACATAAACACCTCTTCTAGTGGAGCAGACAAGGGCTGGGGGATGTGTGTGCTGATCCCTAGAATCATAGCACAGAGATCCCTAGAAAATGGGGAAAAGCTCTGCATGAGTTTTCAGGCGGACACCGCAGTGTGCAGAAGGTCTTGAGCAGCTGTGCGGTGGAATTGGAACCGTCCGAGGCGAATGTTTTCCCAAAATCTACTTTCTCAATTTATTGAAGTACAATTTGCATGTAATGAAATGCATCAATCGCACTGTCCAGTGTGTGAAACCACCACGCCAGTCATGGCATAGAACGTTTCCAACACACGTAAAATTTCCACCACGTGACTTTGCAGGCAACCCCCTTACTGCCCAGATCCACCCACCAGGCAACACTCCTCGTTTGTGTCAGTGTAGATTAGTTTTGAATGTTCTTGAAATCTGTGTAAAGGAATCACAGCATATATCCTTTTATGTCAGGCTCCTCCTCGGACTCGGCACAATGTTTATGTTTATTTATTTGTTTTTAAGTTTATTTATTTTGAGAGAGACAGTGACAGCATGAGCTGGGGAGGGGCAGAGAGAGAGAGAGGGGGAAAGGGAGAATCCCAAGCAGGCTCCATGCTGCCAGGGCAGAGCCTGACGCAGGGCTCGAACTCACACAACCAAGAGTAGGACGCTTACCCGAATGAGCCACCAGGCGTCCCATCAGCATAATGTTTTTAAGATGAATCTACATTGCATATATCACTAGTTTGTTCCTTTCTGTCACGAAGTAGTATTCCACTGAATCAAAGTATGAAGACTCGGTTAACCATTCGCCTATTGATGGACATTTGGGCTTTTTCCAGTTTTGTGCTATGATGAATAACGTTTCTGTAAACATTTTGGTATAAGCTCTTTGTGGCTATGTTTTCACTTCTCCTGAGTAAATGTGGTTGGTGTATGTTTAACATTATAAAAAAAGTGCCAGTTGTCTGTACCATTTCGCATTCCCACCGTCACTGTAAGAGAGTTTCAGTGCTTGAGGCCGTCGACAATACTGGGTATTAATGTCAGTCTTTTTAGCCATTCTTGTGACTATATGATGTTCCATTCAGTGGTGTCTCATTTTGCTTTAATTTGCATTTCCCTAATTAATGATGAAGGTGACTGTGTGTTTGCCACAGAAATATGTACTGTAGTTATTTTATGCTGTCTGTGGCTTATCTTTTGTTATCTTGGTGGTGTCTTTTGAGGAGCAAATTTTTTACGTTGCTTAATTCCGAGTTATTTTTTTCTCTTGTTGTTAGGGCGCCCTGTCCAGGAAAATCCTTGCTTCCAATCCAAGGTCACAAGTATTTTTCTCATACTTCCTCTAGAAATTTCAAACGTCAGACTTATATATAGGTCTACGATCCATTTTGAGTTCATTTTTATTATGCTCTAGCATTCAAGTTTCTTTTATCCATTGTATTAGTCAGGGTTCTCTAGGGTGGGAGGGGGAGGGAGGGAGAAAGAGAGCTTTTAAGGAGTGAGTTCATGTGGTCACAGAAGCTTGGTAAGTTCACAATCTGATGCAGAGGCTGGAGACTCAGGAAAGAGATGCAGTTCAAAGGCTGTCTGCTTGTAGAATTCCTTTTGGCTCAGGGGACATCAGTTTTCATTCTGTTAAAGCCTTCAACTGATTAGATGAGGCCCACCCAGATTAGGGAGGGCAGTCTGCTTCACTCAAAGTCCGCCAATTTAAATATTAATCTCATCAGAAAATGAAAACAAAAATCCTAAAAGAAACATCCAGAATAATGTTTGGCTACATACTTGGACAAACATTATTTTGCCAAACTGACCCAGCCAAATTGACACATAATTTCACCATCACATCCACACAGATATCCAATTGTCCTAGGACCACTTGTTGAAAATTCTGTCCTTTTCCCACTGAATTACCCTGAGAACGTGGTCAAAACTCAGCTGAGCATATATGTGTGGGTCTCTCTACTTTTGGATTCTATTCTGCTCCACTGATGTATATAGCTATCTACCGATACAACAGTCTTGAGTTCTGTAGTTCTGTAGCAAATCTTGAATTCAGGGAGGGTAAATCCTTTCACTTTCCCCCTCTTTTCCAAAGGTATTTTGGCTTTTCTATATCCTTTGCATTTCTATATGTATATAAATATATATATTTATATATTTTGAAATATATATTTATATATATTTATAATATTTATATATAACATATTTTCTATATGTTTATATATTTATATATTTTTATATATAATAATTTTTATATATAAATATATATTTAATTCTATTGATTAAATAGATCAATAATTCTATTGATTCAATTCTATTGATTAAATGATTATATATAATTAAATATTTAAATATTTATATTTATATATAAAAATATTTATATTTATATTTATATATAAATTTTTATATATAAATATAAATATTTAAATATTTAATTATATATAATATATTTATATTTATTATATATATTTAATATTCATGTATTTATATATTTATATTTATATATTTTGAAATCAACATGCCAATTTCTTAAAAAATAAAATTCTTTCAGGAATTTGACTGGGATTGTAGAGGAGCTACAGACCCATTTGGGACAATCGAGATCTTAACAATATAGAAATGTCAATCCATAAACAATCTTTATTCTTGTGTTTCTGGTCTTCAATGTTTTGTAGTTTTCAGTGTACAAGTCTTACATGTATTCAATTTTTTACTAAGTAGTCTCCTTTTTGATGCTATTGCAAAATATTTTTAAAATTTCACTTTGTAATTATTCACTGATACTATATAAATATGCAATTTATTTTGTTTATTGACCTTATATCCTGAGACCAAGCAAAATTCACTTCCTAATTCTAGTAGTTTACTTTGCTTTTTGTTTTTTTTTTTAATTTTTTTTTTCCAACGTTTATTTATTTTTGGGACAGAGAGAGAGACACAGCATGAACGGGGGAGGGGCAGAGAGAGAGGGAGACACAGAATCGGAAGCAGGCTCCAGGCTCTGAGCCATCAGCCCAGAGCCTGACGCAGGGCTCGAACTCACGGACTGCGAGATCGTGACCTGGCTGAAGTCGGACGCTTAACCGACTGCGCCACCCAGGCAACCCCTAGTAGTTTACTTTGTATATTCCTTAGTATTTTCTCCGCACACAATCATGTCATTTGTGAATGAAGACAATTTTATTCTTTTCCAAATTGCAGGCATTTTATTGCGTTTCCTTGCATTAATACAAGTCCAGGAATTCCATTACAATTTGCAGCGATTCGATTACTCATCCTTGCTTTATTCCGAATTTTAATCTCAAGGGAGATAGTAACATTTTCACCATTATATAGAATATTAGCTGTAGGCTTTTCTGATGGCTTTTATCGTGTTAAAAATGTACCTTTTTCCTCAATGTCTACAAGTTTTTACTTGTGAAGGGATATTAAGTTTTGTCAAATGCTTTTACTGTAACTATTAATATAGTCATATGTTTTTCTATTTTATTTTATTTTTTTGTGGTGCATTGTATTGAATCGTTTAAAAATTGTAAAAATCAACCCTGCATCCCTGAAATAAGCCCCACTGGGTAAAGATTATTATTCTTCTCTGTATTGCCAGCTTCAGTTTGCTAAAATTTTGTTGAAGATTTTTGGCTTCTATCTTCACAAGGAATATTTATCTGCAGTTTTCTTTTTATGTATTTATCTGATTTTGATATCAGGGTAATAAAATGAATTAGGAAATCTACCCCCCCTCCCTTGATTTTCTGAATTTCTGTGAAATCAGCATCATTTCTTAAACGCTGGACAGAGTTCACTAGTGGAACTATCTTGATCTGAAATTTTCACCAAGTTTTTTAAAAAATATCTAATTCAAATTATATATTATTTAACATTAAAAAATTTTTAATGTTTATTTTTCAGAGAGAGAGAGAGAGACAGACAAACAGACAGACAGCAGGGGAGGGGCAGAGAAAGAGGGAGATACAGAAATTGAAGCAGGCTCCAGGCTCTGAGCTGTCAGCACAGAGCCTGACACAGGGCTTGAACCCACGAACTGTGGGATCATGACCTGAGCTGAAGTTGACGCTTAAGTGACTGAGCCACCCAGGCGCCCCCTCTTTTTATTGCTTCTTAATGTGGAAACTCATATAAATGATTTTAGACTTTTCTTCTTTTCAATATATGCATTAAATTTAAAAGTTTGCCACTTAGGATTGCTGATGCCATATCCCACAATTTGTGGGATTGTGTTTTCCCTATTTTTCATTTTAAAGCTTTTTTCTAACTGCCTTCGTAATTTCTTTGAACCAAAGATACACACACAAACATTTAAACATATAAGGAAACGGAATTATATTTTATTTGCATTTTTAACCTGCTGTTTTCCTTTATGGTAATATCAAGAACATCTTTCTGATAAATAATTCCCTGCAGCACCTTTCTTTTTTTTTTTTTTTTAATGTTTATTTATTTTTTATTTTTGAGAGAGAGACAGAGCATGAGCAGAGGAGGGACAGAGAGAGAGGGAGATACAGAATCCAAAGCAGGCTCCAGGCTCTGAGCTGCCAGCACAGAGCCTGATGCGGGGCTTGAACTCAAACCGTGAGGTCATGACCTGAGCTGAAGTCGGCTGCTTAACCAACTGAGCCACTCAGGCGCCCCCTGCAGCACCTTTCTTCGTGAATACAGTTTAGTACATTACGGAAGTATCACACGAAATTTATTTAAACTAAATCGCTGTTGTTGGCTAGCTTAGTTATTTCCAATTTTTCAGTTACAAAGTGTTGTGATAAATATCCTCATACATTAACTTTTGTATAAGGAAGACATTTTTTCATTGTATAGCTTTCTAAAAGTGGAGTTGTTATGTAAGTTGTTATGTTATGCTCTTTCAAAGCAGTTTCCCATTTTGTACCGACTTCTTGGGCCTACCCCTACATATTTTACATGTTTAATTTTTTCCCCCCAGAGTTGATGTGGTCTGTGGGCTGCAGCAGCCCTTAGGCATGGTGATTTGGCATTCACAGAGATGAAAAATAGTCAAGTGCCAACACCCAAGATTGTGGGGGGAGGGTCTTACATATAGCATCTGGATTTTCAGATTCTCCTGGAAAAGTGTGAATCTGACAGCACTAAGCCAAAATTCCTACATGGTAAGAATTAGTGGGAAAGGAGTAATTACTTTAGAAAGGGTAGGCTCCTTCCACTTTGTCATAACTCTTACCTAGCCTTGTCACTTGATTAGGCCACGTCTTGACTCTTAACAGGATCTGGGTTCACAGCCCTTGAATTGCTGGGATAGAACCTATTGGAAAACTCAGGGCAGTCATGTACAGGCAAACCCCGATTTACCATTCCAAACCACGTGACATTTCCCAGTGGGTACGATTGCCTCCTTCCGCTTCTTTCTCTAGGAAATTCTAGACCTCCCCTTGGTAACCTATCAGATTCATCCTTCCAGGAGGAAACTTCATTCTTTTGAGATAGAGCACAGAGATAGTCTCTGTGCTTTACTCCAATGAGTTTTTCTAGGTGTTATCTCTGTGCTTTACTCCAATGAGTTTTTCTAGGTGAACATTATCTCTAGAACTAGGCAAACATATGTCAGATTTTTCAGGTCTCAGTTTTAAGGATATATTCAAAGCAGAGCCCTCCCCCACTTGTCATTTTTAATTCATGACACAGTTATGTTAGGATCAAATTATTAATGTGGGATGACTGCTGTCATTCCTCTACTCTATCCAGCCAAAGAGAATTCTCTAATTACCAAATCAATTTCCAGATTGTTTTTCTTCCTAAAAAAATGTTTTTTTCCTGCTAACAGAGAGGTAAGGTCAATATGCATGATGAAGTGATACAAAAAATAGTGAGGAAAGGCAGAGAAAGGAGAATTATGTGTTGAGAGATATTATAGGGAATTGTGAATGGAAAGGCTCTGTATTGGCACCAAGTGTGACGCTGGGGGTGCAGAGTAGAAGAAGGAAGGGGCTTTTAATAAATATTGTTATGGTATTTGAATCTGGATCCCCTTTATGGTTCTCAGGAAACCTAAGGAAAGGGTTTGAGTTATTGAAATTACTTTTGGTTGCGGGAAGCTGCTTCTTGACTGCAGTCTTGCTCTGGGACCCAACTGTGTCTGCCCCAGGTTTATAAGGTTACACAGGCTTGTGGATTGGTTTTCCTTGCTCATATCCATCTTATACTGTGCTGTGGTTATATTAATTTGCTGTTCATGAGACAGTAAGTGCTGGCCACCTGTTTCAACAGATTTTAAGATTGTTCTTTCTGGCCGAGAGTTTTGTTGTGCACCCTGTTCTTAAAAAAAATCGAAGACCTAGACAATCAAGACACAGATTTCTGTTCTCCTTTTCTGTTTATATTTCTCATTCAACGGTTTTTCTGAGGTAGGGAGTCCATACGAAAGGTCACAATGCTTCTGGCTCTGGGGTTGGATTTCTTAAACACATCCCCAGGTCAACTGGAGTGCTAGAGTTTATTACTTTTTAAAAACCAAACCCCTGCCAAGTGAAAGGAGAGAAGGGCATGTTTAGATGAAAGTGCTTGATGTTCAAATTCTGTAGTCTGTTGACATTTTATTGCTCAGTGCAATTTTTCCTATCCTTCAGGGCATTTTGCTTAATGGTTTCCCAGGAACACTATGATGAGGCTTCAAAGCAAGCCCTAGGTTTTAGCAACAATGCTGTTATTCCAGTTTATATGAGTCACATGTCCAAAGTCTTGTACACAAGTTCTTCCCATAAACACTTACGCCCAGAAAATATGGTAAGCCATGTTAACAAGCCATATTGGATGTTCCACACTCATATGGAAATGAATCAGGTAATTCCAATGTAAAAGATTTTTTTGCGGGAACTTGGGGGGGAGGAGAGGTGTACTTAAACTAGATTTTAGCCGTATTATACTAAATTCATATAAGGGTATCTGTTACTAGAAGCATATAGTACTGGCTGTTGAGTACAAACTCGTCAGTAAGAATTGGCTATGTAGGTGTGATGCCTTTAAACACTGAATTACAACAAATACTCCAACAAGTTGATGTATGACCCCGAGAAGTCTGTCCTTCATGACTATTTATTCCATGAGTCAAGAGGAATATAAGGTAGTTACCTGCTGTCAGGTGGTTCTTATCTTTTTGACCCCCATGTATGCTAGTAAAACATGGCTTTCTGAGGGGACCTATTTTAGTACTTTTAGGGTTATTAGACTTGGCACTCAAAGTGCTATCTGATTCCTCTCTTTCAATGATCTCCTTCCAGAGCTGATTCTTCCTCCCTCTTTCTGTATTTGCACGGGGTTGGGTACTTGTCATGGTCAACTCGATCAGTCTGAATGAGAGCTTTTCTTGGAAGGCAGGCCCACTGAAATGAGTAGGCCTGGAGGGAGAAATGGCTGGCATTAACTTAACTCAGAAACAAAAGTTACTGAAAGGGTTGGTGGAATCTCATTCTCTGGAGAGTTAATAAACTTAGCCCATGCTTCCATTATCTGAGAGGGTATACATGTACTAGTTCTAGCAAGTATGGGGGGCAGGGCGCTGACCTCTCAAGTCTCTGCTCAGAGTACCATGCTTTTGCTTTCCACATGTTTATTACCAAAAAGCAGAAGAAAGTGTGCTCTTACCTTACAATAAGAAGATGTAATGGCAGGTAGAATTGGTAGAGCCACTTCTACGGTGATGGTTTCTATCAGCACAATCCTCCAGGAACAAATGTCAGCCAGACCTGCAATGTTTAAGGACACCGTGGGGTCTGAACTTGTGTTTAGGAAAATGCTGACGCGTATTTGAAACTTCATCTGACACATTCTGCAATACTCATTGCCCAAGAGAAGACATTTTCATCCCTGGTTTTTAATGTTATTCTCTTTTGAGGGCTCAGGGATGGACCTCAACGTTATTTTAACTTGGTTTCCTCCAAGCAAGGCCATTTACTTGATTAGGTAGCCAATTGAGAAACTCTGTTGCTGAACATTTTCTACAGTATGGGCTGTGTGTGCTCCTTAGGGTTTGTGGTATGTCTGAAAAACAGAAGGGGCACGGGATTCAATTCTTTGAGTCTTGTCTAGAAGGAGTATGAAGGATATTCAAATAAAGTAACTATTTTTAAGTGTCCATTGGACCAAGAAAAGTTCTAGCAAAATGGCGCTGAAATCAGAGGTGTGATTTCTCAGAATGTAATTCTAGGAAGGAACGATACCTAGGAATTCACTTGGAAAGCTGCTCTTATAGATAACAAGCAGAAAGGTGTTCCATCCTTTTCTGACCACTCTGAAACTTAAGGATAAATTACTTCCTGCTGGAGACTTATCATTACCATTCAGCAACTGTTGGGAATGTGACACAACAGGATTGTTCTCGAAGATTTGTGCATGGATCCAGATAAGCCTCGAGGTTTGCAGCCATGTTGCCAAGAATCTATTCAGATGAGGCACAAATAGAATTGTTCTTTTCTCCTTAAAACCTGGACAGGTTTTGGAAATAGGCTGTGACTATAAATCTTGCACATGAACCACTGATGGTGGTTGCCATCAGTAACAACTAGTCACTTCTCAATTTACTCAATATTTACTTCCTGTACCTGCAATTTACTGCTTGGACCAAGTTCATGAAAGTTTTAAATATGTTTATGTTTAAAAATACAGCTCTTTCAATAGCGATGAATATAAGGGAGATAAATGCTACAGTGATGAGTAACTCTAGTAATTTGCTTACATGTTCTTTGTGCTAAGTTAGTATATATGTGGAGGCTGATGATGTGAAGGAGGAGCCTGAGGGGAGAGAAGGGAATGTGAGTTAGTCACCTGTGAAAAGATTTTTTATTATTATTTATTTCGAGAGAGAGAGACAGAGAGAGCGAGCGTTCATGCGCGTGAGAAGAGAAAGGGCAGAGAGGAGAGAGAGAATCCCATGCAGGCTCCATGTTGTCAATGGAGACCCTGATGTGGAGATCAACTGGATGAACCATGAAATCATGACCTGAGCTGAAATCAAGAGACAGATGTTTAATGGACTGAGCCCCCCAGGCACCTCAAGATTTTTTGAGCAATGGGAAATGGATGCAAAAAAAAAAAAAAAAAAAGCATTGAGGGAGAGGAGCTTAATGTAAAAGAGAACTTCTCTTCCACCTCTCATTGACAATTCTTTTGTTTGAACTCAGAGAACATGCTTTACCTGTGTTGTGGGTTGAGTTTTCCTCCATCACATACCACCTCTCCCTTCCCCACCAGCCCTGCTCTTTCTCTCACCAAGCCAAGACCTGGCCTGTGCATTTGGAACTTATGGAGGCTAAGGACACAGAATAGGCTTTTTTTGTGATGTAACCCAAGTTGCGAGAGGAAGGAAGAGTAACTCAAGTTACTCTTTCAGTGTAAGTTACAGACAGTATCCATGGTAGCACTAAGTTCATCTTTGCCATGAGAAGAGAAGGCTGGTAGCCCTACCCACCTCCATGTGCAAGATCCTTAACGCCATCCTCACCCCACTCTACACCCTGCCTCGCGGGGCAAGAGAGGAGAGCCCATGCTGAATGCTGAACCCAAGAGGGGGCTGAGCCTTGAACTGAGTGGTAGGGGGAAGTTTCAGGGGGAAGACCTAGGAGGAGGGTCAAGGAGTGTGTGAGTTAAGGTCGTCTGAGAAGCGACCACCTAAATGGGATTAGATGTGTAAGAACTTCCTTGAGGGACACACGTCTGAAGGATAAAGGAGAGAAGGCAGGATCAGGCAGGGGGAGCCTTCAGACTGGGATGCAGTGTTGACATGTGTGGAAGGAGAGAGGGGAGGGCCGGAAATCACATGGGAAGAGCCTCAGACAGCAGAATATCGTGGAGAAAATAATGGCGAGATTAAGGAGACGCCCAGTCCAGCTGGCAGGAAGATATGTTTGGGCTCTAATACCCCTTCTGTGCCCAGTCATTGTCCAAGAAAAACAGGGCAGGGAGTGTGGCCCTGAGGTGAGCACCACAATGGTGTGGGAGGCATGTCCCACGGTAGCTTCTCTTGAAGACAGCTGAGCAGGGTTTCCGTCATGGCCGCCACAGGAGGGACACGTGGCGTTGTCACAGGAAGGGTCATAGTGGAGGTCTAAGGGTCTATGACCTTGGCCCTGGGTCTGGGTGAGAGCAAGAAGACAAGCTGAATTATACAGAGAACTCACTTCTGAATCATTGCCCACCTGCCTGTGGGTTGGAAAATACCACTTGATCAAGTTAAGGGTTCACTAAACATTTTCCAAATTCTCTGAGTTGGACAAGCTACCGGCCAGTTGCTGTGGACATGTAATGCTGTGTTCATATCTGCAATTGTCATTTTGATAATAGAATTATATGGGGACGGGGTGGTCAATCAGTGTATCTGAGTGTATCTGTCCACCTTTATTAAATTTTAACCTTACAGGGCACCTGCCTGGCCTCGGCCAAACTCAAAGTGATTTCTCCCAACTCTGAAGAACTAAGCCCCCACTACACATACAGTTTCTTTTCCTTTCTTTCTTTCTTTCTTTCTTTCTTTCTTTCTTTCTTTCTTTCTTTCCTTCTCTCTCTCTCTCTCTCTTTCTTTCTTTCTCTTGGTTTATTTATTACGGAGAGAGAGCATGTGCTCAGGGAGAGGTCAAGAGAGGGGGAGAGAGAGAATCCCAAGCAGGTTCTGCTCAGTGCAGAGCCCACATGGGGCTCGAACCCACAACCACAAGATCATGACCTGAGATGAAATCGAGTCAGACGCTCAACGAACTGAGCCACCCAGGAGCCCCACACATACTGTTTCTCCCTTGCACTTGACCTCTGTGTGTCTATGACTTCTGCCATCCTCAAAAGACAACGAGCAACTTGAAAGTAACAGTTGTCTTACACTTTGAATCATCATTGCCTTACACACATAGTTGTTTTGGGGTTTGACATCAGGTAAGCAAAGGGATTGAGCAGCCTGAGGTATAAGCTGGGAAAAAAAAAAAAAAAACAACAAACCTGAAGAAACATTTATTTCAGCCTACTTTACTTTCAGAAGGTTCTAGCAGTGACTTATAATAGAAGACACAGATGTGTCACAATCATGAAAAAGGATAAATGTATATAATGCTTTCAGTTTATATAATGCTATCTGTCAAATATATTTCAAAAGGAAGAATAAAGAAATAAGGACAAAGGAAAGGGGTCAAGTTGGCATGGGTACAATGAGAAATCACTGAGCTAAGGAATGCTACTGAGATTGAATGCAAACTTTACTTCTGACCTTTTCCTGACAGGCAAGACGAAAAGGAAAACACAAGTTATATAAGGTTCCTATTAGCTAATAAAAAAAAAGCATGCCAGTTTTTCTATACAGGCAGATTTTTTTTCGAGCACTAACTTTAAGAAGAACTTATTTTATGGTCCCTTATAAAGCCATCGACTTTGAAAATATATGATGGTTTCAATAACAGTTTTATAAAAAAAAAATATAGGGAAACTTTGTTTTTCCTGTATGGCCATTTCTTATATTGATTTTTGATAAATGCCATAGTTCAGAGAGGACATTTCTTTGGGGACTTAGGATGTAGTTCAACCTTCAGCAGTGAAACGAGATTGATGGATTATGTC